TTCTGACTTTTCTATTTCTTCTTTTTGTAATGGTAGGTATTGATAGAAATCTTGTTGATAATGTCGGCATCCTAGAGCCCATGATAAACTAACTAAAAGATCCTCATCAGTTTTATACAAAATAATACCATATTTTTGGTGTATGCATTTAAAACTCAATTTGGTTTTCAAATGTAAGATTAACTGGTGCAATAGCCATCTGGGTGAAAATTTGGTTGTGCCATGCTCTGTGTCAAGTGTGATATCTGTGTTATAGACTGTAGTAATGATTGTGTAGTCGTCACCAGTATAAGCTTCAAGAAAAACTTTGCATGCATCACTTAAAAGAATAGCCTTGTCTTGTTTCAAGCTTACTGCAACAGCTGAAACTGATGATAGAACTGCTCTAGTTAAGCGACTTGTCAAGTTATTTCTAATAACTAATTGCCATGACTCTATCTCTTCTAGTAATCTTGTATTTGTATTTTCTGGTTGTTTCTCTGAGAACTTCATTATGGAAAGGTGCAATTGATAGCATGTCTTACAAAGGACATCATTTGAGCCTAGTGATTCGTCATCATTAAGGTATGCTCTCACTAATTCAGCATCTTGGCTGTGATAAATGAATACTTTACCCTTTTTTGGCCAAGCATGGCATGATGCACACTGTATAGGATTGAATACTCTGTATACCTCACTGTAATGTTGTTTGCACAAAAGTATTTCACCATCACTTGTTTGCTCCATAACTCCTAAAACTTCTTCTAAATCTTGTTTGGCAGCAAATTTTGCTTTACTTATATTACTATTATCTGATGTGTTTGTGCATTGAGAATACATGCATTTCTTTGAAATTTTTTATTGATGACCTCTTTTCCATTGAGAAACATAAGAAGGGTCATTATGGTAGCGTCTAGCTTCTAAATAATGCTTCTTACACACAACTATAGATGTGCCTTCCTCTTAAGTAGATAATGACAAATGACGATAAAGAAACAATTTGTATTCTTCTTTCCAGTTAGATACACAAGTCTGATTATCTTCACCTTCCCTTCAAACCAAGTAACACTTCCTTATTGACTGTCGAGTCTGCGCCATAAAGTTATCCTCTACAATAGCATATTTATAATTTATTTATTATTTATTTCATTTATTTGAACAATCACTAATTGTTATTTTTTACTAGGGAATAAATCAAGAGTTTCAATTCCTAAACTAGAAAGACTTCCTTGTGAATTGATTTTATTTTATCATCATAATAGGTTTTTAAAAAATTATGAATTTCAGTAAAATTTAAATGCATGGCAATAGTAATTTTTTCTTTCCTTAATAGTGTATTACTTTTTCTATTAGGAAAATTTAATAATTTTGTCATTTAATGTCTAAGACAGATTTGTACCAAGGTCAAGTATGAAAAAAATTTTATGGGCTTACTTGGGCTTCTTCACATGCTTGTTCACAGCCCCATGGATTACACTACTCAAATTTATTTTATATGATTAGCTTATTCATAGTTTATTCAATGTTTCCAAATTTTACTCATGAATATCATTTCATATTTTTAAAAATAATTTTAGAATAATTTTGTTAGTCCAGTTTTCCAATATGGCTGCCGTGAGTGGGAGTATCATTGCAGATAAATCTAGAAAACGGAGCATTAACAGAGACGATTGCGACTTGACTGATTCTCTTCATTTTGAGAAACACTAAAAAATTCTTTCATTTAACAACTTTTGCACTAACTAACTTACATTCCATCACTGTCACAGGCTGACTCACCACCTTCATCGAAGTTTCTATAATTACCATTTTCCTCATCAATAAGGTCAACACCTTATGCACTGAAACAATTGCTTAAATGCAATAAAAGTATTATTAATACTTACCTTAATGTCAATTCATCATCAATATTACATGTATTGATGTCACTGTCATTCTCATTCTCATCTCTAGTGTACTACTTTCATCACTATCATGGTTGCTTTCACTGTCACTATGGTCAGTTCTCAATGCAAGGGTCTTTGAAAATGAGCTGTACTAGTCTCTAAATAATTAAGAAATTGTGATATTAATAGCCAGCATGTGTAACTCAACATTATTTGAAAATCACTTGTACTCATGGTAAACAGGGATCTCTGTGAAAAGTAACGGTTCGATATAGGTGTAGAGGAACTAATTGGCCAAGGTAAATGAGTTAAATCAGTTGATGAAGGAAACTCAAACTCAGCTGACTGATTAATACTTGTTCTATTATTGAGACTAGGCATTTATCCAGTATTTAAAAACTTAAATGACATTTAGAGACTTTTCTGCCATCAAAAAAAAGTCAAGGTCACTTGACTTTCCAATAGTAGTCCTAAGAGACTTCCACTTTATATAGTCCTTATATACATGTATTCTCACAGTTCGTTTCTTAGAATATCTAACTGGTGGGCTTTTCTGCCAGCATTAGCCCTTGATCCTCCCGAAGAAGCAGCCATGTTTTATAAAAATTTATTGGTGTGGTCGTAATTATGACGTAGTTTATTATATCATTTTGAAAAATAGGGCTACTTTATCAAGATGATGCGCTTCCGTGTCCATGGCCCTTTAATATTCACCATTGTATATAATGCATGCTGTGTAATTATTATAATTAGTGTTTGGGTGTCAGCACAAGTCATTGTTAGCTCTAAGCGCAGCAACCCTGCCTGCCTTACTGCTAGCAACTAGCCAGCACTCATACTCATAGCATCTCATTTATCACTTTATTGGTGACGCGATCGACCTTGAGTACTCCCTGTTCAGGTTTGAGCAGCAGTTATCATGGGATATGCGCTCACCTCGATTGTCTCACTGCTTGTCCACACACTCCTCTACTCTCTCATACTTACGCCAGCCTCTGTAGCACAAACGCTTGCTCTCTGGCAACTCACTGTCAGACAACTATAAGGCTCTAGGCTCTTTCTCTGGGTTGGGCCACTATGACTCACTGTCATTCTAGACCCACTCATCACTCTCTTTGCCTCTGTACCTCTAACGCACAAACACACTGATGATCGACTCCAACAAGTCATGAAACACTCTGCAGCATGTTTCTCAATATGTCTAGCTGTCACTCTCTATGTGCTGTTCATTACTCTTTTGTCATTCTTTTGTTCAACCATGTTTGACTTTTGCTTGCCTTATCTAATTGACCTTTCTCACTTGGATCTTAAGATAAACAAGGCAGTCACTACACTAACCACTGCACCTCCTATTTCATTCAAGCTCATTCAACACTTCCTTCTTTTCCACTTTATCTTCTCTTTGACCAGTTTTACACTCATATTTTCAGGCCATGAGTTTCTATGGCTCATTTAACTGACATTGATTTGTATTTATCATTGGTGCTGGCAGTCTTCGCTATCTATAATATCAAGAGTGGATAAATATTTAGGAAGAGTGTCTAACCCGCCTATAATCTGTGATACCACAGTGCATAAGTTTACATAGCATGGTTATTAGCACCAAGTAGCCATTCTTGCGTCCTTATACTGATTCCAAGTCAGAAGGCTGCAAATAAGAAAGAGCCAACCATTAGAAGAACATATTCCCGTCTGCTCCTGCTTGTTTCTCGCACTACATGATCCTCAGGGTGGAGATATAAGTCTGCATGCTTCAAGCGCCATTTTATCAGCCACACCCATAAATTTGAAGATTACTGAGATTAACTCTGTATACTTGCAAAAAACGGATGTAAACATACGCGCTGTGGTATCACAGAATATAGGCAGGTTAGACACTCTCCCTAAATAATTATCCACTCTTGATAATATTAGATAAACTAGACGAATGTAAAACATTAAGGGGCTCAGCCCACTAGCCACGCTATATTTTAAAGGTTATATGGTATAGAGCTACATTATTGTACATGTACATGAGTAAATACAGTAGTTTGTAATGAAGTTGGAAGCCAGAGACAGTAACTGCAGTCATAGGTTATGTCAGTAGTTGTGGAGGCTTTACAAGCTCACAACTGTGGCATATCTGCCTTCTTAATCTTCCTTGTTGTATTTGGAAAGTAGTAGAGACTTCTCTTGCATTCTTGCTGACTCAAGTGAGTGACTTGTAACTTGTAAGGTCAAGAACATGAACTGAGAACAATGAAGAATTGATAGCTGGCGTCATTTTATTTCACTGTGACCACACCCGTTTTCAAAGAAGATTAAGATTAGGTTATTAAAATAGGAAAAATTTTCATACGGATAAATAGGGGTGACGTACGTGTACAAACAAACAAACAAACAAACAAACATACTCTACTCGAACTAGTGGGCTTCGCCCAACAAGTATTCCTAGCAGTTAATTGTAGAAATGATACAGTCACTAATGGCAGCAAGACTTCTCCAACTGCTACTTTACTCATATCACTTGTGTGGGACATCACGTTAGCTTTCGCTTGACTGCTATTCATGGTCTACTCACTCTTCATTTGTTTTGTATTGACTGTTTGCCCGGTGGGGGAGTACTGTAGTGAGCTGATTGTGAGTGATGAGAGTAATCAATTATCAAGGTGTAATTAATTAATTTTTGTGAGCATGCTCAATTGTTCATTGGGCTTGCATTTTGTTTAAGACTTTGTTAACACAGACAAATCTTTTAAATCCCAACCGATCCAGCCAAGACAAAGTCTTCAAGACGTCTCGACAGTCTGAGAACCTAGAGGAGACAAGCAAGTCCCACATTTGGTGCCGAAACCAGGAAAATTGACAGATCCTCAAGGCGACAAGTGGTAAAGGTGAGGATATGGACATGGGCCACTTTCTCCGGAAGAAAGAAGTGGTAATCTACTCATACGAGGTGGAGAGTGGAAGGTGGCAGGGTGTTAGCCTATTGTTACCTATTTTATATATTTTGAAATAATAAAATTGATTAGCAAGCAGGCACGAGTTCACATGAGCGTTTTGATGGCCGAGCTAGCTAAAAAGAAGGTAGTTCAAGAGGCCAGAGTGATGACTAGAAGAGGCTTGATGAGGTAGATGGTCTCTTCATTGCTGTAGATGGAGGTGCTGTACCAGACCCCGTGAAGCTTTCTCAATTGAGGCTAGGCCTTGGTGAGAAATTAGATTATTTACATAAACTTGATGAAGAGATTTTGACATTGACTGATGATGAGGAAGAGGTGATGCAGGACATAGAAGAAGCAGATAAGTTTATGCAGGAGATTTACGACAAATTAGTGAAGATTGACTCCTGCCTTGCTGCTGTACCTGCATCTAAGGAACCTGCCAGCAGTATGAGCTATAGTACTCAAGCCCGGTTGCCGAAGCTGAACTTGCCTAAATTTTGTGGAGATATAACGGAATGGGTCACTTTTTGGGATCTGTATCAAGCAGTCATGCATAATAATGATCAGATTTCAGAAGTTGAGAAGTTTACTTATTTACAGACGCTTTTAACTAAGGAAGCGAAGGATACTATAGCCGGTCTTGCCTTAACTGCTGCCAAATATTCCGAAGCAATTGCTTTGTTAGAATCTCGATCTGGCAACAAGGAGTATCATATCCAAGCACATGGATACTCTTTAGCATTGGAATCTGTGTCATGGCAAGGTAATACCATGGCCTTGAGAGCCTTATATGACAAGGTTAAAACTCGCGAGCCTTGAAGCTTTGGGTGTTTCATCTGAGGCATATAATAGCTTACTTCCTTCACTATTAATGAGAAAACTGCCCTCGGAGCTCTGTTTGAATATTAGCAGGCGCGTATCAGAGGATACCTGGAATCTTGACAATTTAATGAATATATTGAGTGATGAGCTTAAGGCCAGAGAATGGACTACTCCAAAAGTAGAGATCAGGCTCTGATACTAGTCATAGTCATGGTAAGTCTAGAAAAACAGCACGAGCAGCTACTACTGCAGCTTTATTTTGTGGTTATTGTAGCCAGCCACATTTGTCAGAAGCATGTAGGAAGGTTTGCAATCCAGAAGCAAGAAGGCACATTTTTCAAGAAGGCCGATGCTACATTTGCTTGAAAAAAGGACATTTAGGTTGTGTTTGTAGGCAAAATAAGAGGCAGATAGCACATGTTTACACGATACATGAATATCTACACAAATTTTCTGGCTTAAGTAGATAGTGGTAGATAGAGGAGAGCAGCCTAGAATATTCGCCTTTATTTTCAGATATTTCCTGTATTGTATCCATACTAAAATAATCATCTGAAAAGCTTAAAAGACTCTTTCCTAATGCTTATTCTTCTGATTTTAGTGCTAATGAGGCAGGTAGCCATTGTGTATTTTTTTTCTTTTCAACAGAACACTTTTTTGTATGAAGTTTCAGTGCCCACATTGCTTTTATGAGTAAATAACTGCAATGGAAGATTTTATGCGATGCTTTTTGTAATAAGTCACATATTTTTAGTAGACAAAAATGCACGAAAATACACATCTATTTACGAAGTAAATACTGGTTAAAGAAATTAAAATACAAGTAGATACAGAGTAGATAGAATTTGAGAAGATGTGCTATGTGGTGTGGTGAATGTGGTGGTCAACATCATATTAGCATTTGCTTCAAAAGGGAAGATGCCAGTAAGCCTACTGAGAAGGAATGGAATGAGAGCAAAGATTCTCTTAATCCTAAGGCTGAACGTTTTAAATCCTTGACTTTATTTGCAGATTCAAAGGGTACAATACTTTTGCAGACTGCAAAAACTACTTGTTTTAATCTTAATAAAAAAAGAGAGTTGATATTAGATTAGCATGTGATAGTGGTAGTCAGCTTTCATATGTAACTGAGAAAGTGTGTAGGAAACTAGGTTTGAGATCAATGGGTAGTCGTTTATTGAAAATAGCAACATTTGGTAAGAGTGAAAGTGAGAATATGTCTCATATTGTAGTACACTTGAGTATAGAGTCTAGGGAAGGGGTTGAACAGATGTTAGCACTTCTAGCTGTGCCTTTTATTTGTGAGCTTTTAAGAGGCTCATCAACTAGTTATAGCATTGATGGATGTGATCATTTAGCAGGGCTTGAATAGCTGATTCTATTTGTGAGGGAGAAGTGGTTGAAATTGATGTCTTAATAGGTCTTGATCACTATTAGAGTTTCCTAACAGGATAGGTCATTAGAGGAGAAAAAGGACCAGTTGCTTTGTATTCTTTTTTAGGCAGGATTTTATCAGGATCAGTTGCTGCTGATGCTACTTCACTTGTAGTACATGTCTTAACAGCTGTGCAAAGGAAAAGGTTGGTTTTGATCAGCAGTTAAAACAGTTTTGAGAGGGATGCTTTTAAACAATTTCAAGTTTTTAAAGATTTATTATCTCAGGGTGGTTTTAATTTGAGAAAATTTGTGTGTAATAGAGAGAAGTTGTGTAATAAAGTTTAATTGGGAAAGCATAAGGTACGTTAATTGGGATATAGACACTGATGAGTTAGTATTAAATTTGAGTAAAATTGTATGTGATGTTAATGAGCGTGAATGTTTAGCGAAGAGAAGAATGGTGAGTGTTGTGAGTAGGATCTTTGATCCAATTGGTATTGCCTCCACAGTCACTATTCAAGCAAAGTTATTGTTACAAGAATTGCATAAGGCCAATATAGAGTGGGATGATGTCATTGGGGGAGAACTTTTTAATAGATATTGTAAAGTTTTGAGTGTTACACGTGAGAGTGAAACTATTAGAGTACCAGATGGTGTAAGAGAGACTTTTATGAGAATTTGAATGTGAGTTATAGATTGTGTGGTTTTAGCGATGCATCAAAAAAGGCATATGCTGCTGTTTATCTTCAGCAGGTGTATAATGGCAAAAAGAGAGGTATCTTGATAGCATAAGAGTCGAGTCATGCCTATGAATCACTTATCTATTCCACATTTAGAGCTGTTGGGAGCATTGCTACTTTCAAGGCTTATCCACAGTGTGGAGAAGACAGACATAAAGCTACTTTCTCTATCTGCTATTCTGATTCAGAGGTGGTGCTTTACTGGATTATGGGAGAGAACCGAGACTGGAAGCCTTTTGCACAGAATCAAGTCAGGGAAATTAGATCTCTTGCTCCAGTAGCAAGTTGGAGGCATTGTCCAGGTGAGGAAAATTCTGCGGATCTCGCCACAAGAGGGGTCTCTGACAAGGAGCTGAAGAAAACCTGGTGGTTGTTATGGTCCTCCATGAATAGGTAAGTATCTGATAGAAGATCCACCGGGAGAGATGCCCTTGGAGTGTTTGCAAAAGCTGCGCATTTACGAAATGCATAACGTAACGTGTTGTAGCAAAACGTGTAGGCATACATATAGTTTATAGGTACATGACTGCAAGCTTCAGCATTTAATAGTTTTGAATAATTATAGTTCATTGGAGAAGCTTTGCAGAGTGACAGAATTTGTATTGAGATTTATTGATAGCATTAAAAGGAGTAATATTGAGCATAATTTGGAGAATTACAGTTTGAAAGCAGAATATATGTGGGTAGTTGAGTGTCAGAAGGTATTGATTGCTAATCATAAGTTTAAAGAATGAAAGCATCAATTCGAATTGTTTGAAAATTCTCGCAGTATATGGAGATGTGGGGAAGGCTCCACAAGGCGAATTTTCTTATGAAACCTTGCATCCTATTTTATTGCCTAGTACACATCATTTTACTCAACTTATATGTAAAGCCCATAATAGAATTTTTCACAATTGGATTAAAGATACATTAACAGAATTGAAGACTAGATATTGGGTTATTAAGGGCAGAGCAGCAGTAAAGCAGTTTGTAAAGCATTGTCACTTTTAGAAAGGCAGAAGGGGACATACAGTGTGCCCGTACCTTCACCAGTCCCCAACTTTTCGAGTAAGGAGAGAAACTCCATTTGCATACACTGTCGTGGATTTTGCTGGGCCACTTTATATAAGAGATAGGGTGAAATCTGAGAGTAGAGTGTGGATTTGCCAGTTCACATGTTGTGTCACAAGGCCATTTATGTTCATATTGTTAATAATTTATCTGCTGATTGTTTTCTGAGTTGTTTTCGTACATTTATTGCTAGACGAGGTTTTCCCACTAAAGTCATATCAGATAATACTAAGACATTTAAGGGAGCTGCTGTAATTCTGCAGAAGATAGTGAAGCATCCTCATGTCTCTCGATATTTCTCCGATCTTAATGCGATTTGGGCCTTTAATGTGGCTAAAGCTCCATGGTGGGGAGGAATATTTGAACGCCTCATTCAATTTGTCAAACTGTGTTTGAAGACTATTAGAAGAGCCAAGTTAACTCATGAAGAGCTCCTAACTTTGGTAAAAGAGGTGGAAATGATAGTTATAATTCTTGAACACTGTTCTATCATAAGATGATAACAAGGAGCCATTAACACCTTTGCATCTAATAATAGGAAGGATTTCTAGTTTACCTGATAATTTGGTGTTCCTGAAGAGGATGATAATTTTGAAGTATCAGCTCATTTTTGAATAAGAGAGTCCAGAGTCTCCATCAAATACTTGATCATTTTTCAAATGATGGAAATTCGAATATCTATTGCAGCAGCGAGATGTTCACAGATTTCATAATCAAGGATCTACTGGACCTAATATAGCAGTAGGAGATGTGGTAGTGATACATAATGAAGATTGTAAGAGAGGATTTTGGAATCTTGGAAGAATCAAGGAACTAATCCCAGGAAGTGATGGCCATAATTGTGCTGTAGTTGTGGTCTCCAATGGGAAAGGAAAGACTATGCTTTTGAAACGTCCAGTCCAACGCTTATTTCCTTATGAAGTGAGAAATGTCTCATCTACTGAAGTAACTAGCACTGAGCCTAGAGTTACAGGAGGTTCAGATGCCAAGATAATGAGCCTACCAAAGCTGTCTCTAGTCCAGAGGTCGATACTCTAGCTGAACAAAGGGATTCACCTAAACTGTTAAGATCTACTCAAACTGCAGCTACTCTAGCTTGGGACAATATCAAGGCTCATTTGCTCAGTTAACTGTTAATAATTATTGAGGTATCATAATATCATGTTAAAATAGTTAATCTTATTATTGTGTGTGTTTTCATTATTAATATTGTTGATTGTATCAGTGTCTCTGATTGACTGATACATTTTTTAAAATGTAACAGTCAACGGGGGAGTGTGAGGTGTGAGTAATGAGAGTAATCAATTATCAAGGTGTAATTAATTAATTTTTGTGAGCATGCTGAGTTGTTCATTGGGCTTGCATTTTGTTGAAGAAGAGTTTGTTAACACAGACAAATTTTTTTAAATCCCAACCGATCCAGCCAAGACAGAGTCTTCAAGACGTCTCGACAGTCTGAGAACCTGGAGGAGGCAAGCTAATCTCACACTGATTTATCATGACATCATATCAAAACTCATTGGTGTTCATGAACTATCTTTGTATATAATGCATGCTGTGTAATTGCTATAATCAGTGTTTCAGTGTCAACACGAGGCATCGTTAGCTCTCTCTCCAAGCGCAGCACTCCTGCCTGCCATAATACTAGCCTAGTACTAGCCAGTACTCATACTCATAGCATCTCATTTAGCAATTGCTGTTTCCATTCTAGACAGAATTAGTGAGTGTTATAACCAAAATATAAAATAATACAGCTTACTTTAAAATTGACTCGATTTAAGACAGAATTAGCTGTTAAAACTGAAAATATAAAAATGTAATTCCATTCAAGACAGTTAATCTTGGAAAGATCAATTCCTTTAATGATGAAATTAATGCTAAATGCACATGTGGTAAAATTAATTTTTTATTAAGTTAATAATCCTACAATACATCATAATAGAGGACACTATAAATTTCAACAAGACACTCTATGTGTAAAATGAATTATGTAATTTTTAATATTACTATACCTTTTATTAGTTGAACTTTGTCCTAATTTTAGGATGGCTTTGGACTTTTTACCTTTCATATTTTTGTGGCTACAAGTAGCCATTTCTTCTTCAGTAAATAGTGCGTCCAAAAGAGAAAGGGCATATTTATGTATGTTTGGTGTACTTATTTTTAGGAAATTGATTCCATTATCCTAACAGTTTAATAATAATCTTTAACATGTTGCTACATGTATCTTACAGTTATAAACTTGGAGCTCTCTTCCTTGACAATTTTTTTACTGCAAGCTGGAAAATAATGAAGTTTTTAAAAGTTTAAACTCACTTTTGAATTTTTATTAATAAGCTGAAGAACTGTATCTAGTTTTTTTTGTCAATAATGTAGTCTCTCCTAAGTTAATATAATACTATAAGCATGCATGGATTAAAATACTTTAATAGTTGCAGTACTTTGCTTGCGTGTAGTAAAAGGTGATGAAAAAAGATAAAATCATGTGCAATATGCAAATATTTAATAAGATACCCTTGGCAATGTGCTTGCTTTTGCCTTTAGAATTTATAATGATACTATTTTTTTAATTTATGCATAATTACCTTAAAGCTATGTGAAGTGGTACAAGTAACTTCTAAATGCATAATAGTTTTGATTACTAAACTAAATTAAAATTATGTACCTGGTGAATCATTCACTATAACCTCACCTCCTGTATCCATACCTTGTTCATGTGAAGATACATTGTCACACATCTTTAACTTTATCAATGAATAAACAGGTACATACAGAGACGAATATTTTTAATTATCATTATCACTAAAACCTAAGTCAAAAATAACAAATCAATTATTACTTAAGTACAAAATTAAACAATTATACTTTCATTTTCTGCATCCTCCTCTTGTAAAGTCTCTTCTCTGGCAGTCAGTTTAATTTTTTCTTGGTGCTACGACTATCATTGTCACTATCATTACTTTCCTCTAGTTGAGGCCATTTAGCTTTAGCTGAAGGCCTTGTCCCTATATACACAAGTCATGATGATTGTATAGAAATGGCACGCTAACGATGGGTCTCCTGAACAATAACTTTTTATAGTGTGTCTTCAGACATCCAAATCACACTATTATCAAAAAATAAGTCCTTTTCTGTAACCTTTTCTACCGTTTCTGTCTGTAGAAACTTTGAGTGGTCAGAATACTCACAATTTGAACCCATAAGACTCTCCAATGTAACTGCACCAAACTAATCAGCTAATACTTACCAAATGCTTACAACCACTATAGGTCTTACTGTTCATTACTTCGAAGTCTTTACTTTCTTGTCCTAAAGCTTTTCAGAAGGCTGACGTTTCCTTTTCAGTTTGCCCACTCCTATCATTTCTACTGAAATGTGTAGCTATGGATAGTTTCAAGCGTTTATATGGGAAGGAGAGTGTTCAACGCCACATACCACTCAAGAAACACTGTATAAAGTAACGTGACAGGATAAGACATTTTTAGTAGTGATGGGCGATATATCGATTCTGTATCAATATAAACGATATTTTACGGAATTGATTTGAATCATTATTGAAAATTTTATGCAATTTTCATTGATCTATTGACCACACCCATTTATTAAGGTTATATAACTAATTATAACAAGTAATTGCACTGTTGAACTGCAAGAAAGAGGCAACTGACCAGATGTTAGCTGAGCCAACCACAATAAGAAGAGAAACAAGGCTTAAGAGCATGGAAGTCTGCTCTCATGTCCAGTAGAGTGCCAAAATCATTAGCCACACCTTTGACACACCCTAAATGAAGGTGTGGTTATCATATTGTTAATAATCGATATTTCCTCAAAAAGTCTATTATCGATCATTATCGAAAATTAAGAAAATTGGCCATATTGCCCATCACTAGTTTTTAGTACAGTAATATTGATTTTTCCCTGTATACTTGATTTATGACATCATTATAAAAACATTAATTATTATATTACGTAATAATAATAATAATAGAGTGCTAATAATAACATAGGTAAACACTGTACTAAGAGAGCTCGACTCTAGGTGCTAGACCTGGACAGTATCGTAGATATTGAGACCAAGATATACGAGGATCTAGTTTTCTTTTTGTACAACTACCCTGCGAAAGATGACAAAGCAAAGGTGCTAGTCTGCACTCAGAAGGAATTACAGTATCATCCACAGTCTGGTTTGCTGAGCAGAATAAAAATGAGACAGGCAATTATGTCCTTCAGGTCCTGATAATAAGTAAGGAGAAAGGATATATTGGATCATGTGATGAGTTTTTGTCTATCTGTTGTCAAATCTCAAAAATTGGAGGCTACAAGTTTTGTCCTGGATTCAACACTAAGGAGTATGATGCCCGATACTTTCAAGTAATCAGATATGATCCAAAATCTGTAAGACATATGGCCAACCCAATTATTAGAATTGATTCTCAAAACTGCCTTTTGTGGCAGAAGTTAGCTAGAAATGCAAGCATTATTGAGAAGGGCATGCAAATGTACTGTGTTGCTCCTGCAAACGTTTGAGAAATGTTTGATTATGCCATTTTATTATGTAACCTACAGCAAAAGGATGTTGCTGAGAGTCACTTTAAGACCAGTCAAGAGATATATTCAACACATAATAGAGCTATACAGCTGCTGCAAGAAACTGGAAGAAAGCATATCATGCTGCAATGCAGCTGAAGTATTATTTGCATGCGCAAGCCCTCATTAATGTGAGATTGTGAGTAGTGAGGTGGAACTAATTTAGTTGTGGTTATGTGGTTAATTTTTTCATACTAAATATATCTACACTACATAAAACCAGGAAATACAAGCAATACCTACTTGATTGGTCATCCATCAATTTGAATGCCTGCTGTCTTCTACATCACATGTCTTTATTTGTGCCAAGTTGGTTTTGGGGATTTTCCACCTACCAGGAAAAGCAGCAATCACTATTACTAAACTATTTATTGGGGAGCACAGGTGTTTTTACTGTTCAGACAAAGGAGAAGTGCACAACCGAGTTCTTATATATCCTCCTCATGATCAGCATCTCTTGAGATCATTACATGAAATAAAGTGGGCTGCAGAAGCTGAGCAAGAGAAAAGTACTAAGTTTTGTGCAAAGGGTTATTGTTTTCTGTCAGAGTATCTTTAATTTCCAGAATCAATTCCCATAGATTACATGCACTCCATTATTGAAGGAGTATTCAAACAGTTAGAGAAACTATGGTTTGATTCCAGTTATAATTCTTAACCTTACAGCCTGCACAAACACATAGGCTGTATTAATAGAGTACTTAGGCGAGTAAAGCCACCACATAAAATTTAACAAGTGTCCCGATCTGTAGAGAATAATTCTTTTCTCAGGCCATCAGAATATAGAGCGTCGTTACTTTTTATGCAGAACTCATTTCCTCTTTCTTCTTACCCCAAGACTACAAGCATTTCACCTTTTCTACTCTCTGATAAAATTAAGAAAAATGACCTAAGCATTGCATACCGTATGCTGTGAACTTTCTATCAGGAAACTGGGAATTTCTACTCCTGCACCATTTACACTGCAAATATGCATTGGCTACAGCATATTGTTGGTATGGTTGAGCTGTGGGGTCCTTTATGGGTTTACTCAATGTTTTGGTTTCAGAGCTAAATGGTACTTTGGGAAATAAATATCATGGCACTCAAAAGACAGTTTAATCAGATGTACAACTTTGTTAGGCTCTACCTGATATGCTTCAAGAATGTAGTTCTGTTAATCACCAGAAACACAGGCATACATTGCAAAAAAATTGTCTAAAATAATAACAATATGCAAGAAATCTGTTCCAATTGTTATTTTATAGGAAAAATTTCATTACCTATTTGCATTGTTAAAGCCTTTAACAATTCATCCTTGCAAAGTTACAACCTACTTTAAATGAACATGTTAGGGAGAATACTTCACGAAATCTCGCTAACAAAGTATTTCAATGAAAATACATTGGAGCAATTAATTGCCATACCTTTAAAAAAATAATCAGGAATTGCTTGCTAATCAACATTCCAATTTATAAACAAAACACTACATTCATTATACCATGCCCAAATTTTTATTTCATTAATAAAACATTTATACTAGTTAACTATATGAGTATCAATGCCATGGATCATTTAGAAGTGAATCTTGATTACACATATATTGATTTCATGTCTGTGATTATAATGTGTATATGCATGCATGCATTGGCTCCTATATTTCAGTTGTTACGATTAATTCATAACAAATCCAACTAAAACAAATATAGCCTGCAAAATTGATTTGTTTAATATAAGAAAGATCAATAGCAGCACAAAATAGAAGAGCCAAAAAAATTGTAAAAGATTAAATAGGAAACAGACTTCCAGTGGTACACAGCAAAGAATTATTATCTTTGATACAGGCCACTACCCAAAATCAATGATTCAAGCCTGATGTCTATTTGATACAGCCCTGACTGACATCACAGTTGAATCATGTCTGTTGCTCTGGCTAAACCAGGGCTGTACTCCAGCATGGTTGTATAATGGATGATCATCATGATTGTATCATACTAAACTCATTGCTTTGCAGGCTACCAAAATCCATGATACAGGAATGTATCAAGGCTGATCCTGATTGATATTAGTCATGATTTTAAATTAAAATGTAGCACTACAACTCAAAAAAGTATGAACAGCAATGATGACATCTCATTAGCCAAAGAAAGACAAGTACTGGAAACCAGTCTCTAGTTCATGAAGATCACCTAGTTTTCCTTAATTTACTCCAAATAAAACTGATATTGAAGATTCTGACCCCTGTAGTAAAGAAGTTGCCTCGGAAGTTGCTGATGTTTTATCACTCGCCTAATGTAGTAAATTCCATGTGCTTATGCACATGCGCATCAGAGACACACATGTCCCTTTGGCTCTATTGTCTCTTGTCCTGTTAGTTTGTAGTAGATGCCATGTGCTTCGGCACATGCGCATTAGAGTCAATAGAGTACACATGCTATAGCTATCATATGTTCTTCAATCTCTCTCTCTCTCTATTCATTTTGTTGTATCGATGTCAATCCTTGTCTTCTAACATTATTTCATTCTAATAATAATTAGTTAAGACCTTCACTCTACACATTGGTGACCCAGACGGCCCTGGCAAATCACTGCTTAGGGTTATAAAGATTAAAGGATTAAAGACAAGCGACCATTGGACGTGTGCTTGAACTGTTTTCTCATCCACATGCCAGACATGGGGTAATATGTAATAGTAAAAGTAATAGTAATAATAATGATTACAAATATTGGTGTAATAGTAATATAATAGTACATGAAAAAATTGAAATGCATTGTAATTGTAATAGTAATATGAAATAGACTGTCAGTAATAGTAATTTTAATAGAAATTACAATGTAATATGTGTTGATTACAATCATTACATGTATGCTGCACTTGACAGTTAGCAGTCATTAAGCGTCAATTTGTCAGTGCCACTGTCAGGAGGAAC